TGCCGCACAGCTGGTTTAGGCCTCAGCTGGGGTATTGGGTGCAGTTCTGGGCTCTGATTTTTAAGGGGGATGGACCCGATTATTAATAACATCTATGAAACTACGAGGATGCAGAAGTGGCTTCGGAGGTGAGTGGCAAAGATAATAGAGGCGCGCAGCTGTGCGAGGAAAGGCGGAGGGAGCCAGGCACGTGTGGTCTGGAGGAGAGGAGACAAAAGGAGGATGTGATCACAGCTTTCCCCCAAAAAGAGGGAGCGTGCCTGTTCCCCCTGCCGCGGAGGGCAGGATGGAGGCAGTGGGTCCTGACAGCAGCACGGCGGCTTGAGAGGAAAGCTTCCTGGCTGTCATGCCAGCAGGGTGGTGGAGCAAGCTGCCCAGGGTCTCCTGCCTGGACGGGCATCTGTCTCGCCTGGTTTAGGACCCATGACCTTCCCGTGACTCAATCGTACCAGGTTTAACCACAACCCGCCCCCAACTTTGGATCCTCAACTGCCAGGACAGCTGCTTTGCAAACATCTGGAGGTCCACCACCGCCTGGAAAGGTTGCAGCAGGCCCCTGCGGACATGGAGCCCGCAGGAAGCCCGGGAGCAGGGCAGGCTGGGGGGTGGGGGCTGCGGGCGCATTGCTGCTCTCCTTTGGTAAAACCACATCAGTGGTGGCAGTCGCTGGTGCAGCTGGGGCTGCCTGAAACCTCGCTGCCGAGGTTCGCCCTCCGGCAAGGACTGTCTGCCAGATGTGCGCATTGCAACATCTCCGGGGGGGGAGGCTGGCTCTGGGGAGGGGACGCGCTTTGTCAGCTCCTGGAAGGACCAGGAGGACTTCAAAACATCCAGCAAAGCCCGGCAGGTTCCTGCTGCAATGACAGCAAATGTTACCTGTGGGCGTGCGCGTCCACGTGCTGCGCTGTGCCTTCCCTATAGATGCAGCCTCCTTTGGACACGTGCTATTTGCACCCGCCCGTTGGCTCCCCAGAGGCACCCCTGAACGGCGCCCGCCGGGGACGAGAGGGGTTGGATGAGCTGCTTTGGGGCCGGTCGTTAAGCACGAGGAACATGAGCTATGGGAGGAAAGATGGGAGAACACCTGGCCCAGGCTGGCCTCTCCGCAAACATCTGCCCAGCTGCAGGTGGTTGCAGCTCCCTAAAGACTTGCTGCTGTTCAGGTCTCGCTGGATGGGTTCATCCAAATGCCTTTGGGCAGCCAAAATCAGGGCTCTTGGCCTGGTACAGACCCCGCGCGTGCCAAGCCGTCCAGGCGGCACTTGGGGGCTTGCGTAGCCCCCGAACAAGAACCAGTCTGTCCGTGTCTGTGCGGTGCAGGAGGCAGGCTATTCAGCGCTGCACTGCAGGGATGCATCTGGGGAGAGATCTGGCTGATTTGGGACCGTTTTTTCCAACGTGGGCTTTTTGGGATCCTGGACACGGCCCCTGCATCTCAGAAACCCCAGGCTGGTCGCAGCCCATCCACGAGCCGTGGCAGAGATCGTCCTCCAATCGAGGGATTGCCGGCAGCGATGCGGGAAGTCAGACCAGGCAGCGGTAGAGGTCCTTGCTTGGCCTTGATGGCTGTGAGCTGATTTCCCGGGAAGGGAAGGGGCTCGGTGTCAATTCGGGGCAGGGGATGCTGCTTCTTGGGGCGGTCTGCGCCTTCCTCTCCGATGGGAAAGATCGTCCTGCCGTTCAGGGGCTCGTCGCAGGTGTTGTAGGGGGCGCGCGGGCTGGGGTGACTGCGGCTCTGGTTTTATCGCCGTCGTCCCCCGGCCTTTCCGGACACGCTGGTGGGACGGTGGATCGGGGCGGGGAGGAGGGGAGGAAGGGAACAGGCTCGGGGCCAGGACCGTTGCAGCATACCACAGGCTCCTGCTGCCCGGTTATTTATGGGAGACGTCTCGCACAAATTAGCGTTCGCAGGGATGATGCTCTCCAGGCGCCGCTGCGAGCTCGGCTGCAGAGCCCGAGCTGCGCGTCCTCTCGCTGCCAGACACCCGTCCCCTATTTCGGTGGTGGTTTGGACACGGCAGGGCTAAGCCAGCACTTCCAGAGTGGAGGTGTGGCTGTGGGGTGACGGAGAGAGCCGCCAAGGAGGTCAGCGGCATTGCCCCCATTTTACAGATGGGGAAACAGAGGCGAGGCATGATGAAGTGATGCACTCGGCGTCCCAGTCCATCTCTCACCTCCTCCACGATCTCTCACAACCTCCCAGGCCACGGAGAGGAAGGACGGTCTGGTGGTTTAGGGCTCCCTGCTCTGCCACAGACTCTCTGTGTGGCCTCAGACAAGTCACTTCCCCTGTCCGCGCCCCCGTTTCCTGGCTGTTCAATGGGGGTCACAGCACGGCCCTGCCACGCGGGGGCCTTCCCAGGACACCGGCCCCATCCCTGCCCCTCAGAGTGGCACCGGTCTTGTCCCCGCAGGCTCCAGGAGGCAGGCGTGACGTGCCCCGCGTCCAGCATCGGGTCCACCCCGTCCTGCAGTCACCCTGTGGCCGACATGGGCAGGCTCACCGAGGTCCACCCCGGGAACTACATCTTCTACGGTAAGCCTCCACACCCGGCCCGAGGCCCGGGGCTGCCCGGGCCCCCACACACCTCCTCCGGCTCCATCTAGGAGCGGGGACGTGGGAAGCCGCTTGAGCCCCGGGGGCTGCCTCTGGCTCCGCAGACCTGCAGCAGGTGACGATCGGGTCCTGCCAGCTGGAGGACGTCGCCGTCCGGGTCCTGACCAGGGTGATCGGCCATTACCCGCATCGCAACCAGCTCCTGGTGGACTGCGGCTGGGCCGGGCTGAGCCTGCACGGCCTGGGGCAGCTGCCCACGGGCTACGCGCTCATCGAGGGCCACCCGGACCTGAAGTGATCGTGGCCGAGCGGAGGTGGAGGTGGTGGCAGGGGGTTGGGGCTGGAGTTGCTCTGTCCTTCTTTAGGAGAACTGCAGCACCCATCTGAATCCCCCTGGTTGCAATTCAAGGCCATTGCTTCTTGTCCTTGCCCTTCGGCCACAGGAGATGATGATCTCCACCCTCTTTTAACAACCCGTTTGTTCCCAGATTTAGGAGCAACGGCCTCGAGCTGCGGCAAGGGAAATGAAGAGGAGGAGGGTGGCCAAGCAGGGGCAAATTGCAGATTCTCCATCCCTTAAAATGTTCAAGACTACTTTGGACAGACATTTGGCCGGGATGGGTTAGTCATTGGATTGATTGATCCTGCCTTGAGCACGGGGCTGAACGAGATGACCTTATGGGGTCCCTTCCAGCCCTACTTTCCTATGGTCCTAAAGCCCCCCTCAGGCTGCCCTTCTCCAGACTCAGTTTATCCTCTGATAAATGTATCTGTGCTGAGCAGTAAAGACGCACCTAGCCTGGTTCAAAAAGGGACTAGATAAATTAATGGTCGGTTGAACAGAAGGATTGGAGGCGTTTCCTTTGGTATCTGTGCATGGCAAGGAGAATACTGAATAGGGAAGAGACCCGGTTTAATGCTCGCCCTCTGTAGCATCCACTTCTGCCACTGTCGGAGACAGGACAGGGCCTGACGCAAGGTAGAGCAGCTTTGGGGGCGATCTAACGTGCGTCCAGGCGCAGCAGTCCTCTATGGACCATTGCAGCAGCCCAGAAGAGCCTGGTGCAGCCTTGTCCTCCCTCCACACATCGCCTTGCCCGCTGTCTCCTGCAGACACCTCCGCACACCTCCCTTGCACACACGGCCCGCTCCGTGCCCGCTGCACCAGCCCCACCGAGGGAGCTGGGCTCTGGAGAGCAGGGCCACGTCTGCTGCAGACCCATTTCTTTCCCTCGTCGCAGGCTGGTGGGAATGACCCAGGAGCACGGCCGCGTCGAGCCCGTCGTGGGGGCGCTGGACTTCAGCGAGTTCCCCCTGGGGAGCCTCCTGGCCTTGATCCCGTACCACGTGAGTAGGGAGCCCAACTCCAACGCCCCACGGGACGGTGCCGGGGCTGGAGTGGGCTCTTCAGCATCCCCTTCCCCGAGGCCGGCTCCCTGCGGGGTGCTTATCTCGGGGACGGTGCCCTGACCCACGTCCCATGTGCGTGTTGCAGGCCTGTGCCACCGCAGCCATGCACCCTGTCTACTACATCCATGCCGAGGGCAAGGTCGTTGCCACGTGGAAGCCCGTCAGGGGCTGGTAAAAGCGCGACAGCTGCAAAAAAAACCCAGCCAGGCCCCCTGCCCTCCAGGAAGCCGCTCCATCTGCCCCATCCCTGAGCCACGGCGTGGTTGCCTGCCAGCTCGGGGACCGGCGGGAGGGGAGCTGGCTGGGCCACGTCCCCGTGGACGGAGGGGTGGTCCTCGCCAGAGCTTGCGGGGCCTGTGACCGCTGGGACCAGCTGCTGCACGAGCCTCTTGCCTTGAGACCTTTGCCAGCTCTTCCAACAAATAACAGGTGCATCCTGGTGCTCGGGATAAATGACACCCCAAACCACCTGGGAGGAGGCCCACCCCCTCCCCAGACACCGGTAGGCAGTTAGAGGGGTCAGATCCTGCATTCGGCCTCCTAGGTAGACATCCACTTGTGTCCCTGTCACACGTGACCGGAGCTCCTCGTGTCGCCAGCGGCTTGGGCTGTGTTTGTGCAGCGCCCAGCGCGAAGCGGGGACCTGCCTGGGGTTGCGGGACACCGAGAGGTAACCCGAGGGTGGAGGAGTCCAGCCATGGGAGGATCGAGGAGTTTGCAAAGGGAGGGCATGGATGGTGAGGTGCATCCTCACATGCAACACAACACACACTTGAGAGAAACCAGAAGTGTCACTAATACGTGCGGGCCCAGGGCTATAGTCTGCCATTTAAAAATCAAAGTAAAAGAAAAAAACCCACCTTTATTGTAATACGTATTCATAGCATCATAGACCATGAGGGTGGGAAGGGTCCCCACATCTAGTCCAGCCCTTGCTCCAAGCAGGACCAGCTCCAACCACATTATCCCAGCCAAGGCTTTGTCTACCCGGGTCTTCAACACCTCCAAGGATGGAGATCTCACAGGCTCTCTAGGTAACCTGTTCCAGTGCTTTACTAACCTCCTAGCAAGAAAGTTTTTCCTAATATCCAACCTGCAACGTGAGCCCATTGCTCCTTGTCCTGTCCACGCCGTATCACGGATTATGTATGAATCCACAACAGACGAGGCAAGAATAATCAGAAGTTGCTCCATTAGTCCCGCAGTCGTTAAAGATACTTTTTTTTCAGATTCATAAAAGCAAACCTAACCTCCTCGAGCAGCCTGGCAGTGCATCCAGCGCTCTGCTGACCGTTATTTCCACGCCCGAGCTAATGTTCCCCCGAGTTAATGTTTCCACCCCCGTGTGAATGTTTCTAACTAGTTAAGAACAGCCTGCGGGAGCTGTGAAATAGGAGCTATATCCCCAGGAGCAGCGAACAGGCAGGAGGATTGCAGAAGGAGGACCAGCTCGGCTAGTGGAACCGTGAAAGACCACGAGAAAGGAGAGAGGGGCATTAACTCCCGCGGGGTGAAGAGTTTAGCAGGAATCGGGTAGGTTGCAGTGAGCCGTGAAGTTAAATGACGGCCTCGCTGCTGCCACTGCCAGGCAGTCAGGTCTAACCGTGGGTGGAGCACGACTCAAAGCGGGGTGGAAATGCACCGCTGCACCCCCCGGATCTGACCCCAGCTGGGTGGATTCCCCCAGCCTCCTGCCTTTGGCAGCTGGGGACCCGAATGTGCTGGCACCTGCCTCGCAGGACTCCCCTGGCCTGAGAGTCCCTGTCCAGCCTCACCGCCAGCTCTGGGGATGGGAATGGCGGCACGGAGAGGAAAGTGATGTGCCCAAGGTCGACCGGCAGGGCTGTGGCAGAGCTGGGGGCTAGACGCTCTGGAAAACAGGAAGCCCTCCGGAGGGCTGGCCAGCCAAGGGGAGGCCATGTTCCCCGCTGCTCCATCACCCAGAACACGCACGTCGCTCCTCTCTTCCGCCGCCCCGCTCTTTCCAGGCCCTGGAAGCATCAGGTCCCCCCTCCCATTGCCCCAGAGCCCTCTCCTAAAGTTTTCCACCCCTGCAGGGCTTGGGAATAATGCTTGGCCGGGCTGTCCAGGTAACTCCAGCCTCCAGTCCGGCGGGCAGGGCGGGCGTGGGGAAGGTGTGGGGGGAGAATCAAAAGCTCTCGGGGCTTGAAAGGGAGCCGGACCAGGCCATAAAATCCTATTGCCCTCGGCTGGGGGCGGGGATTGCAGTTGGCCGGTCTCTGATCTTCCTGTCAATAGCCCCTTTGAAGTCCCTCTGCTCCCACCATTGTGTTCCCAACCATTTGTCAGCTCCCTCCCTGCCCTGAGCAGGCCCTGGTGCCCGGGGCCAGTCTGAGCAAGGGGCTGGGCTCATCGGGGAACCGGGAGAGGACCAGGAGCCACGGGCGAAGGAGCAGGGGAGCCGGGCAGGCCTCGCTGAACTGTCTGGGGGTCTCTAGCTGCGGGGCTGAGGGGCCAGGCTGGATGGCAGGCACCGGGCTGCTCTGGGTCAGACCCGCTCGCCCGGGAGCAAAGCGCTCCCAGGCTCGGAGGAGCGTGTCGGAGGGGTCAGGAGAGGGAGCGCAGGACAAGCTGGTCTCCCCGGGCTCGTCTCCCAGCCTTGACCCGCCCAAGCGCACACGCTCTCCAGGCCCGCAGGGGTGTCCCATCCTGCCTCCGACACCGGTCCCCGCTCCGGGGCCTTTGCCACATCCATTAACCTCGCTGCCGCAGTTTCCCCAGCAGAAAGTAACAATCCTGCCCTCTTAGGCATCTCACGAGTGTAATCCCTGTGTGCAAAACATCAAGTCACAGCCAACAATGGAGGAACAGCGTGTCCTGTGTCCGGGCCAGGGCCTGGACTATGAGACCCTTGGGGTCCTTTCCAGCCCCACTCAGAGCCGGACAAGCTGGGAAGCTCCCAGATGCCTGCGGACACAAAGGATCCTCTTGTCATCCTCCTGCCCAGCTCTCCTCCAGGCTGGGGCAGGGACAGGATCCGACTGAGGCTGGATCTCGGCGCGCAGCGAGGGAAGGGGTCGGGGTGGAGGAGCCTGTGGCTGGGAGAAGAGGGCAGCGAGGATGCCACTGCCGTGAAAAATCAGGGGGGAGCCTTGAAGGGGTGGGTGGGAGCGGGGAAGAGTATGGGGGCACGAGCTGAGCTTGGAAAGACGGAAAGCACCGCGACTTCCGCCGGCCTCACCCGGGGTCTGGCCTCACGCCCAGGGTGGCGGCCTGGGCTCCGGCATCTCCTGCAACGGGGTTCAGCCGTAGGGAGTGATGATGCCCAGCCGCCTGGGCCCAGCCTGGGACAGGGGCCAAGAGCTGAGCTAGCAAAGCAAAGCGGGGTGAGGAAGGCAGGAATCTGGAAGCTCATCTGTGCCCCCTGCCCCCGGCTCGGGTGGGGGGCTGAGAGCAGCAGCCACCGGCTGCCCATAAAGCTGTCCCGGGAATCAGCGCAATTGCCTGGGAGGCGAATCCTGCTTCCTGCTCTTTCAACCCCGGGACGGACCGAGGCAGATCAAAGGCGGCTGCGGGGGTGTCCTGGGAATGCACAACCTGCCGGGGGGGAGAGCAAAGGGAAGTGTGCGGGGGTGTGCAAAGCCCAGCTCCACCGTGTGTAATGTCCACCGTGTGTGTATGTTCATGCATGTGTGTGTGCACAGTGTGGAAGCTGGGCGTTCAGCCAGATGCAAACGGCCTGGACCCGTTCTTGAAGGAAAAGGGGCTTCAGCCGCTATTGAGCAGGAGAGTGAGGGGCACGGCCTCTGGACCACAACCTCCTAGACTAGGGACAGACATTACACATAAACCGGATCAGAAACTGGTTTAAGCCTGTAACAGAACAGATGTTCAGCGCACATAAACCAGTTTGAAAATGGCTTGACTGATCTGGGTCAAATTGGTTGATGCCACGTCTGTCCCAGACCTAAATGTCAGAGGCTGCAAGCGAGAGGAAAAGCCCCGGGTCACTCTCCCTTTCAGCGTCCGTCCGGGCCGCTGTGCGACACAGGGGACCGGGTGGTGCAGGCCTAGGGTCGGACCCAGCACGTGGCACCTCTGGTGTGCGCACATCTGCACGGATGGGGAGGGAACAGCAGGTAACTTGCTCGAGGTTGCACAGCAGGTCGGTGGCAGAGCTGGACAGGGCCCAGGCCAGCTGGAAGGGCTGCTGGGGTCCTCCCTGGTGAGGGCAGCGGGACGAGCCAGGTCCTGTCCTTCAAGGAGCATGTGGAAAGGCAGCAGCGTGTGGCTCCTGGAGGAAGGTGAGAGCAGCCTGTGCCAGAGCCACTACCGGGCCAGCAAACAGCCCATGCAGCTGCCCCAGGGCACTCTTCATGGGGCATTTAGCCAGCCCCAGCAGACCCCAATGATCCCTGCCAGGCTGTCGGGGCAGGATCAGCTGCATGGTAAGCTTGGTGTGTGAGTGTGCATGTGTGTGTGTGCATGTTTCCCTTGACATGCCTATATTTAGCTAAGCTCAGACGTCCCCCCCTCTGCTCAGCAAACAGGCAGCCGCGAGTAATCTTCCTTGGCACTGACGTTTCACGTGTACGTGTGCGTGTTTATGGCGTATGAACGGGTGTACGCACAGCACAGGTGTGTGTGTGTGCTTCGGTATGTGCAACCGTGAGTCCGGGCACAGGTGCTTCGTGCGTTTGTATGAATGTAGGTGTGCAGATGTGTTTGCGTGAATGTGTGGTGACATGTATGTTTGTGCGTCTGGGTGGATGTGTGTGTGTGTGGGGGGGGGGAGCTGTGTGTATATGTCTGCCTGCATAGGTATGGGTGTATATGAGTACAAGTGTGTTTGTGTGAGTGTGTGCCTACAGCTGCCTGCATGGTGTGTTTGACTGTGTTTATGTGTGTGCATATGTGTATGTGTGTGTGCCTGTGCATGTGTAGCAATGTGGACACAGGAGTGCATGTATGAGTGTGTGCATATGTGTACCTACAGAGCTGTGCATTTGTATCAGTGCGGACATAGGCGAGCACATATGAGTGTGTGCATACGTGCATATCCAGTTATGTGCATTTGTGCCTGTGCATCATTATGTACACAGGAGTACACATATGAATGTGTGCATATGTGTATGCACATGCGTGTTTGTGCCTGTGCATTGTTTTGTACACAGGAGCGCACATATGTGTGTGTGCATGTGTCCATACAGTTATGCGCCTTTGTGCTTGTGCCTGTGTATCAATATGTTTGCAGAAGTGCACGTAGGAGTGTGTGCATATGTGTACATACAGACTGTTTGGCTCAGTGTGTACACAGGAATACACATAGGAGTGTGTGCATATGGGTATATCCAGACGTGAGTTTCTGCCTGAGCACGCAGGAGTGCACACATGAGTGTGTGCATCCGTGTATACACGTGGCGGTGCCTGCGTGTCAGTGTGCACGCGGGAGTGCACGTATGAGTGTGTGCACATGCGTATATGCTGAAATGTGCACTTATGCCTGTGCATCATTGTGTACACAGGAGCACACACATGAACGTGTGTGTGTGTGTGCGTACACCCGTGTGCACACAGGAATGCATGGAGGGGGTGTGCATAGGCGTGTGCACACAGGGGTGCGCATATGTACACACGTGCGTGCCGTCGGGGGGTGCGTACAGGCGCGCGTGCCGGTGCCTGCACGGGCACACAGGAGCGCACGCGGGAGCGTGCCTGTGCGTGTACACACGTGCGTGTGCAGGGGCCGGGCCCCGCCCCCGCCGGGGCAGCCAATGGAGGGCGAG